TCGCAACTACCCAGCCCCTCGGGGCAGTAGAGCATTTCCGCCTGGGTGATGTTGTCCCACAACATCGGTACTTTCCGCATCACGTAGTCGAATCTCTGGTAGTTCTTCCTCCAGTCTAGGGTGACGCCGCGATCTTTGACTAGCTTCTTCTCGAACACCTGGCCGCCCTCGGGCGAGAAACTGTAGCTGGTGCAGGGGGTAGTTGCGAGAAAACAGCGGACGGACTTGAAGAGCTCAGACTGCTTGTCCGCAAAATTGGTCGTGTAGTTGAAGGACGGGTCTTGTTCGTATTTGAGAATTTCTCGACTACTGGCGTCGTTCGTCTTGCTGTCGACAAACCAGGCCAGGTTCTTGTCGGCGGAAAAAACTCTCAAGTCCCCGAACCTAATGTTCGGACTCGTTGCCGTGGTCGAGAAGGTTACGTTGTGAAACCCCGGGGGAAAAGCACCCCCGGTGGAGAAGGACTGGAAAATCAAACCTGTTTCCGAGGCACCAGAAGTTGTTATCGTCGCGTCGGCGGTGGCTATTGTTGTGCCGTTAATAATTTGCGGTGCTGCGTCCTCTGGTTTTGTGTTGAAGTACACATCCACCGTGTCCGCCGTCGGCGACATGACTTCAATTTCAAACCGGATCGCTTGGGCTTGCAAGTTCGCGACACTCAAATCTTCCACTGTTTGCCCCGTGCTGATGTAGAATTGCACGGTCACATAGGGCACTGTACTCCCGTACTCCGTCGCGTTCAAATTCGTCATAACGTCCCCCGACGCGGTATCTAACACAAACGGCTCGCTGATTCCTATCGAAGCAAACGCCAGCTTCACCGAACTGTTTTTGTAGGTGTCCGTCTCGATCGGCTGGATGGTCTCCGCAAACGGATTATCTTTCGAGAAGTACGTGATCCCGAAACACGCGGGTGTCGACAGCGCCAAGTTCGCCGCCGGGTCCCGGCCGTAGGAGGAAGCGGAGCTCGGGTTCCAGTCGCTGTACTTCTTTCTCGCGTTTTTCAACGAGTACGCGTCGCACTCCGCCTTACACCGGTCCACGCTGTCGAAGCCCACCGCCGCGGCGATCGTCGTCTTCCCGATGTCCCAGGGCTCGCACTTCTTGAACCCCTCGACACCCTTGTCGTCCCACGCGTACCTTGCGGACTGAAACGCCAACTCCCGCGCCGGAATCGTGATTTTCAACACCGCCGGATTGCTGTGTTTCTGCAAAGACGCGTCTAAAACGGAGTACTTCAGGACCAAACCTGTGATCTCCTGCGTCACCGACTGGATCAAGTCAAAGCCCTGCTTTTCCTGCGGCGACTTCGTCGCCGTGGACAAATCCACGGAGACCGGAAAAGTCAGGTCGTCGACTACTTGTAAATCCTTGTACACCGTCGTCCCGTTCGGGCCTATGACCAACTCCGCGCTTGGGTTCGTGAAAACTTTGTTGTCTGTCAAAACGCCCAAATTCGTCACGTTCGTTTTGTACACGTTGTTGTCGAGGAAGGAGTAGATTTGCCGTGGCTGCGGCGTTGTCGTTGTGGTCGTGCCGCGGTTTTTGATGTTCTCCTCGTTCACGACGATGAGCAGACACCTGATACCGTTTGACAGTAACGTTCTGTGGTACACCTTCTTCAGCGATTCCAATCCGTACTTCGACCCCACCGTGCTGCACCCCGGCAGCTCATACGCGTCGACAAAATCGTCCCCCGGGAGCTCGTTGATGTAGAATCTGGTTTCCAAAAACGGATTTATGATCGCGTTTTGCCCTATGCCGCTCTGCGTCTGCGTCGTGGTGACAAAGTCGGTCTGCTGAGTGGAGTTTAGTCTGATGATGTTCCTGAACCCATCTCTTTTCAGAATCAGTGGCGTTTCTTCTATCAAGTCCAACAGCTTCCAAGTCGGCCTTGTCGTACTGGTGTACGTCATTCCGCCCGGTGTTCTCACGTTCGTCCAGAAAAGTTTCCGGTAATTCAACCTGTCGACGGCAATGTTCCCACTGCCCTCGTCGAAAGTGTAGTGCAGGACCGAGTTGAAGTCGTTGAACCCCTTGATTCCTCCCTCCGTGTTGCCGCCGAGGTAGTCTAGGCCGAACCGGAAATCGTCCAACAGCCAGCCCGCGGAGCTGCTACTCCCGACGACAAGTTTGTTATTCGGCACACTGTACCCATCCGCGAACGGGGTGATACCCGCGCTCGCGATCGCATACTTATTCCCGTCGGCGAAATTCCGGAACGTTTCCCGACAGCTGGAGGTCTTGTTGGTCTGGATGAAGATTTCCCGCTCGGAAAAGGAGATGAACAAATCTTGCATCTGAAAGGACCGGAGCTCGCACCGCCGCGATTCAAACTCCGACTCCCACCGCCCCTGGTTGTACTCCGACTGCTGGTCGATCGCCGCTACGCTGTTCGCGTCGGGGTCTATCAAGTGCAAAAATGTCATCTGGGTCTGGAAGAGTCATGCTGTTTTTGCATCACACAGAAGGTCTGGCATGGAAGCTCTAGCATCACAGGTCTCGAGAAGCGTTCGCAATGCCGAATCCGCATTACAAATCCCTGATTTTGGTGACACAAAGTGGGCAACTTTTGCTGCCTATGCATGACAGAATTTTCTGTGTTCTGATGAAATGTGCGTCGCAAGTTTGTATTCTTCCAGACCCAGTAGACATTTTTGCATTTCATAGGGTCGTTCACGTCCCGATAAGGGTTGAACTTTATTCTCACCACCGGAAACGCCACATCCGTGCGCGTTTCGTGCTTCCGTAACGCGATCTGGAACGCGTTGCCCTTCTGGAGCAGGATCTGCTGCTTCATCCGGAAGTTGTCGCTCTGCTTCTCCTATGAATTGCAAAAGTATCGTACTCGTATTTAAATGCATTACAAATTTTAGCATCAGAAATTTGTAATGCTAATGTACCTGAGGAAAAGATTTGCAATGCATGATTGCACTACGAGTACGATACTCTGCACAGGATATCTCCTGCAGCCAGGTCGGAGCGTACTTGAACTTCAGCTCCGCAGACCACTCGTTGATCAGAGCGTTTGGAAAATGTTCCTTCAACTCGAACACGCCGCTCCCATCGAACTGCACCCCGAACCCGCGGTTGCCCGCTTGCAGCTGGTAGGAATCCGAGCTGTAGGGGTCGAGGGCCGGGTCCGTGGTGCCGTCCTTCACGACACTGGCCTCGTACCGGTCGAAAGGGTCTTCGTTGCTGCTGTGCGGCGCGGAATAGTGCACGGCGTGGACAAGAGAGGCAGCGAGGCTGAACAGCATCATAACTCTAGTCGCAATTTTGCTACTTGCTGTTGGCGGATCAATTTTCGTCCAGGGGAGAAAGTTGTGGAGGTTCACGCTTTTGAAAAAAATGGACAACAGAACCTGGGCGACAAACTGCGCAAACATGGCTATTATTCCGACGAAATCTTTTTCTGTTCTGCCCCAACAAAGTCTGCTCCTTCTTCGTCTCCGCCTGCGCTTGTAGTAATTGTCTGCTCGCTGCAAAAACGATGATCCGAAGCGCGCATGATGATGTTGCGGCTCCAAATCTGCGTCCGTCCGGAGCTCTTGCATCGGATTGTTTCCCGAAGAAAATCGCTCTGCGTCAGTTCGCTCTGGGTTTTTATCTTCTTCATCGTCATGTGATGAAATTGTTTCCGATGCTCTTCTGCGTTCCCGGTGCAGGAGGTGGTAATGTTGCTTCTCTCTCTCGCGACCCCGCACTTCTGCTGCATCTTTGCATGTGCGCCTGAAGTCGTGGTCTATTTGCTGGTCCAGTAAAATCGGTGGTTCTTCTACATCTTTTCCTTCTTCGACTGGTACTCTCGCCCTGCATTTTCTGTTGCAGGAGCAGGCCTCCGTGTTCTCTCTCACCCGCACGATCGTACCGTGGCCTCGCCTTCTTTTCCTTCTGTAAAAAAACCGACCGAACTCTTCCTCCCTGCCCTTCGAGCACCCGAAGTGGTCCCCGCGCGACGTCGAGACTAGATTCCTCAGAGGGTCCCGCATTAAAAACTTGCGTGCTGCAATATAACCCGCTCAGCTGTTACAATCTCAAACGTTACAATAAAATTTGGAAATCTGTGATGCAAGAGCGCATGTTCTAGCCAACTCTCATAGGATTGCGCATGACAAGTTCCGAAGCCCCAAACCCCACTACAATCTGGCGAAATTTGTATTGCAAAAGGTGGAACGCTCTGCGAGTCTGTCATGCTCATCATGCAACACAAATTTCAGATTCTATTGTAACGTTTGAGATTGTAACATTTGAGCAAGTCATATGCAAACAGAATCTCCCATCAGCAGCGGTTCTTCCGGGAGGTCGTTGCAAAAAAAACCTGGTTCTTTGGAGGTCAGCAGAAGCTTCCAAGCAAGCTTCGTTGAGAAGACGGTGAGAAGAGAGACCGAACGGGGGACCTCCTTCCATCTACAACAAGATGAAGTAGAACTCCGGTCTCGCGATCGAAGAAGGCCATCAAACTTTCAGTACAGTTGTATAGTGCGGTTGCGGTAACAAAATGTAAGCTCCAAAGTAAAATACAAGTACAGAGTCGCCTCCTCTCAGCGCCGGCGCACTACAGTAGACCAGTGATCTTTATTTTCGTGATCTTCGTGGTGCGTGGCTGCGCCTGGTGGCTCTCAAGTAAACCAAAATCTTGCAACAGCTTCGTCCTACTCTAGTGGAACTAGAAAGTCACCAAGTTACACTTCTACCTGATTTTAAAATGCAAAGCTCATGTTAGGCGCGCTCAACACGTGTTGAGTGCGCCTAGCACGACCTTCGTAATCCTCAAGCCTACTTGGAAGTACCTTCCTCATCTACTCTCAACCCTCGGTTTGATGATGGTGCCCTAGGTTTTCTCTTACGTATATTCTCTCGCAATTGTTGTCAGGGTCGCTTGTGAAGGCTTTCTCTGTGCTGCTGGTCAGTCCCATCGTGAACATCGTGAGAAGAAAAGAGACAGGGCAGAACCAACAAAAATCTTGTCTTTGGTTCCTTACGGCGCACGCTAGAAGATAAGAACAAGAACTGACTCGGAGTTGAAGACGAAAAACACTGCCTCCATGCAAAACCTATTTCAAAAAAAATCACATGCGAGTTCGAGTCGTAAAAGTAATGTAAGCACTGAACTGCAGTATAGCACCACAATCCCCAAAATCATTTTGTTTCACTCAAAGAACTTGTTTCATACCAGCACATGAAGCAAGACAAATTTGTTGCTTGTTGTACAGCCACATTTTTTCTCATATATCCTCCAGCAAAACGACTCACCTCCACGTCAACACGCTGCTGGGGGTTGTTGCTCTCCGCGGCCCGCCACCGACTCCAATTGTGTTGCTGGTCCACACCGGATGCGTAGTGCCAGAACTACCCCCTCTTGCTGCTGGTGTGAATTTCATCTTCCCAGTTGTCCCGTGAACAGCACCGGCACTCTGGAGGTGACCGGCGGTACTACTTCTGAGAAAGTTGTTGGCGTTACTTCTCTATCAAGTGCAAAAATGTCTGGGTCTGGAAGAATGCGAGATCTGTAATGCAGTTTTTGCCTGACCTAGATCGTCTCGCATGCGAGCGATAGCACCACAGATTTTGAGCAGGTATGGTACCCCAATGCCCAATCCGCATGACAAATCCCCTTTCGGTAACAAGAGCTGGGGCCTTTTGCTAGCCATGCATGACAGATTTTGTCATGATGTAGACTTCGCATCACAAATTCGAATTCTTCCAGACCCAGACATATTTGCAATGCATATTCTCCTACTCGCAACCGGGGTGTTGGAAATTGCTTTTTTCAACACTCCATTCTCCGCTTTCAGTTCCGCGATAGCCGACCACAGATGCCCGATCTCGTCGTGCACGAGCTTTTCCACGAATTCCGCTTTCGATTCCTGCGTGTTTAGCATTTTCGCGGCCAACAGACTGTCCTCGTCGTCTTGCATTTCCTGCTGCAGTTCCTGCTTGAAAATCTGCTCCCGCTCGGACGCAGAATTCATCGTGTCGGTGCCGAGACTGGTACTTCGCTTTTGGTGAAAAGTCAAGGCGGATGGTGGATAATTTTCAAGTGATTTGTTTGGAACTTTATTTCTTCCCGTATTTGTAGTACCAGCAGCTGATGTTGGGTGCAATTCCTGTCGTGCTCCGCGCTGCTGCGTTTTTGCATGTGATGCCGCAGCGGCTCTACTTGCACCATTTGCAGCTGCTGCGCCACCATTTATTTGTGCGCCGCCTCCGGCGCTAGCAGTACTGGAAGCACTCGCTGGTGGGCGCGCAGGCACGATTGGCATCGCAGCGGATCTTTTTGCGCCGCCTGCTTGCAGTAGATGTTGTCCACATCCCCCTCCTGGCGCGCTGCTGGCGAAAGACAGCGAACGCGGTCGCATTGTCGAAGCTGCCGTCGCGGCGCCAGGTCTTGCTTGCGGCGCACCGACACCAGCGTGATGTGTAGTTGTCCTGTGATTTGATGTTCCTTGCGGAGCTACTCGTCCGTTGACGGACCATTTTTGCTGGTTCAAAGCTCCGCTTGTCCGGTACCGCCCACTGACACCGGTGCTGGAAGACCGGTTTTTGTTTCGTATGGAATAAACAAAAATTGTTGGTATGCGCTTCTGCTTATCGTCGTTTGGTTATCGTTACGCCAGACCCAATAAAAACAAAATAAACATATTTCGTTGATAAATGAAACTGGATACAGCCACGCCGAATAACATTATCCACAGCGGCATGCAATACATTATTTTGTTCAGTTGCGGCGGCGGCTGCCCACACCATTGTGCATAATCTCTTGCACGGTGCTACCATCATCTACAAGCTTGTTATTTCCTGCACACGCGGTAATAGCATCGGGCATTAGGTTATGCACCACGCAGCTATGAAAGTTACAGTTGCAACAACAAAACTTCAAGAATGCTCAAGCACACTATTAGATCAATACGACTGATGAAACACAAACCAACTACGTGTGACATTCCGTACTGCCGCGCACTCCCGCACCACCGCTCGCAGCGCGTACGGGCGGGCGATCTGTGATCCACACGGGAGGAACTTTCGTGGATTTATTTCCCACTCGTATCGACGTCGCATCGCTTGATGGAAATCTGCCTTCGCGGATAGGCAGCTGGTTCGACAGCGGCCCATGGTCTCCTCTACTTCCGCTACGCGGGTTACTACCATGGCGAGAAGATACAGGACGTTGCTCCCGGCTGAACAACGGCGCGACTGGTCCATTCGCAGTTCTACTCGAGGATGGCCACCGATCCATTCCGAGGAGCGAATCTGTATTGCATTCTGAGCGTTGCAGCAATCGCTATGCTTCATGTTCTTGTGGTGCACCAGGTGCTGAAGAGGATCATGCAACGTATTCAATACAACCGGTGCAACAGGTGAATACAACTTCTACATCACCCAGGTGCACCACACTGGCGCTAAAGAAAAAACATAGGTAGAAACGATAAAAACCAATTAAAAAAAGTTGTTGTCGTGTCCCGCTGTATATTACCGCCGATCTGCGTTCCACTGCTTTTTAACATTCTCGTTTGCAGGTCGAAGTTATCGCTTTCGGGTATGGCCGTTTGCAGTTCTTGCACCAAATCCAGGTCATTGTCATCGAGAAATCCGTCGCGCAACCCTAATATGTTGATTACAAAAATACATCTGTGCGTGACTGCTGCGAAAGTCAGGCCTTTGGTCGTCATACCGTCGTGATCCACGATGTTTGTTCGGAGATTTTTTTATGAATCAATTTAAAAAAACTATGCGTAATCTCACAACACCATGCATATTCAAACAGAAGTGAGTAGAAACCTTTAGTACCGCTAGTCTTGTTTCGCCCATTGCTATCGTATTTTTCTTCCTCCAACGGCGCTGGCCCAACGTCAACATCGTCTTCCATCAAACTTGTCATCAGCTTTGGAAACGGCGAACGGGCGACGATTTCGTTTCTTCTTTCCCGCTCCGTCTGGTAGTCGTCAAATTTCGTATTCAAGTTCTTCCGCGCGGCCTGAAAAGCCAAAGCTTCTTTTCGCACGCTATCGTAACTATTCATTTTGGCGTACGCGGTGGGCGTGACGGCGACTGGTTTGCGGAGAACCGGGACAGGGCGGTCATTTTCAAATAGAAACGCGGAGGAGGAAGAGGACCTGTACTGCGGATAATCGTTTTCCTCTGGATTATGTGCGGAAAACGGTTGTGCCCATGGTTGTTCTCCTGCCCGTGCGTCTTGCGCACCAACGTACTGCTCACGATCTAGATCTTCTCGGTAAGAACTCTGATGTGCACCACTAGTAGGTCCTGCTCGTCTCGCTGCCGCAGCGACTTTCATTTCCTCGTAATTCCGATCAAACAGATCGACTTGTTCCCTTGTTCCCCGCGACGAAGCCACAGCTCCTCCTCGGTGACCGGAATCACTGGGCCCGGCAAGTAGCCCGCCAAAATACTCATCGCTTGATTCTCTAGGACGGCCACCATCTTGATGATGCTCTTCGTTTCTTTCTCGCCGTCGTTCCTCTGTGAGAAATGAACCGCGTGTAGAGGACGAACTACCGACAACATTTTCAGCGGCAGCACTACCACCTCCGAACGTCGTGTTGATTCGTTTTTTCTCTACGCGACACCGCTCCTTCAACTTGTCCAGCTCGCTGCGTAGTGTGCCGAGCACGTCCGATAAACTTTCGTTGTGCAGAATCGAGGTCGACAGCGTGGAACGGTTTACGGCGGAGGACGACATTTTCTACAAAATTTTAGGTAAAAACTTCTTCACGCAGTGAGAAAATGCTTGGACGAAAGTGGCACAACTCAGCTGTAGTTGTAGAGCATTGGCGGAGCGGACAAAAAACAGTTCCACAGCAAGCCTGCTGGCATTGTATCGAGCGCCACACAAGGCGAAATCTTTTAACTTTATGACACTCTACAAGAATGTAAGCTTAAGAACAACCAGAGAAGGTATAAGGCAAATAAGACGATCAGAAGGAAATACTATAGAGAAGTCTGCACCAAGAGCAGGAGGTGAACAACGGTTCCTTTGCATTTGCTTCGCTTTGTGCTCCTTTGAACCCTCATATCTCATGGCGCACTCAGATGACATTGACGAAACTCAAACAAAAAATACCTGATAGTGGTAAAGAAACCTTGTAGTAGTTGCGTTTTTGCATGGCGGGACCGTGTTGCGTTTTTGCAAGAGAGAGAACAAAACAAGCACGCGTCCAGGACATCCATCCTTGATGGCACGAGGTGCTGCATAGGGCAAGCGTGCTGCCAAAACTCAACTTCAATTTGCCTCATCATCAATCAATCTCGTCTCTGAAACCCTCCGTCTTCAATATCATGATGGATATGCAAGCAGCAGGCAATCGAATCAAAAGTAACGGAAGCGCAAGCGCAGGGCCACCTCTTTCAAGGTTGCTGGCCACTTCTCTTAATCGTACAGATCTTGATCTCTTCACCCTGGACTCACTTGAGATCTTCATGTTCCTACACTGACTTGGGCCCTCGAATCGTATTCTGTTTCTGGGCATGCGCCCAGCACCATCAAAAAGTATGCCCACAAGCAAATCGGTCATAACAAAGCTCCTGAGCCTACGACGTTCTTGAACCGTCAAAAAATGTCGTTGTCAATCATTGCCGCACATGAGCATGACTCATTGACGGCGGTACTACCAACTCCTGATTCATAATCATACAGAGAAACAAAGAAACTGAAACACTGCTACAAAACTAACGCAAATGAGAAAAGGCGATAAATTCTACAGTACCAGGCTCAGGCTACGGCTAAAACTTCTAAATGTCACAAAAGTGCTGACGCGTCACAGATTGAGGTTTTTGCTGATTCTTAGACATAATTGCTAATCCATTTAGGATTGGTACGTATGCGGCTCAAGCTTGAAATTAAACGGAGAAAATTGATGAACTGTCTATTGACAGTTTAAGGAAATTGAGAAAAGCTGATGAAATTGTACATGGTGATAATGATCCAGATCCTACTTGGCTTAGGTTCTGCATCATACTCGCGAATGCGTACGGTCACGGGCAAAGACCCAAAAAAAAACTTAACAGGTGCGCGCTAGACATTTCGCCTTCCTAGTGATGGTGCGTCATCCAGCATTTGTCTATCTTTCAGCAGGTGTTCATTATTTATTGAGCAGTAAAGCAAATGGAAAAGTCCTTGCCTCACCCTAGCTCACCAGTGCAAACGCTCTCTGCCAACACTGCTCATCCACCGGCCAAGGACTGCTAGTGCAGGAATGTCGTCCGGTTCTATCGCCGCCCGGCGGAATCGTTAGTAGCACCAGATTAAGGGTCCGGCTTCGCGGCTGCTCCTCGCGTTCGAGTTTAGTAAAGCGCGCCCACACGCGTGTGTTGCCAAAGGGTTGGGTCGAACGGCCAGAACCGGCAGGACGGTACGAGTTTGTAATATTGCTTTCTGTTATTGCTGAGGTCAAGCCTGGAATCTCCGCCACCACAGCGCTCCAGGAAACCAAATTTTGGTCAAACAAAAAAGCGTTGTAGAACATGTCATCGACATTTTTCAGTTTTCTGCTGACGTTCCACGTACGCAGCGCAGGGGAGTTGAAGCGCTCGGCTCCCAGAAACATTTCCTTCATGCTTTCCACATTGGACACATTCGTGAAAGACAGGTTTTGCGCGAATTCCGCAGCGCCCATGAACATCTGCTGCATGTTTCGCACCGACCCTGTGTTCCACATGCTTACCGAGTCTTGGTCGAAGAGCCGGCAGTTGCGGAACATGCCGCTCATGTCCGTCACCATGCTGGTGTCGAAGGCAGCTCGGAGGCGCGCCGAGCTGAGAAGTGCTTGCACCTCGTCTGCGGAGAACTCCGACAGCGGCTTGTGGTAGTCGCTCTGCAACAAGAGAAGCAGCTGGCTCTGCTCTGCATCAAGGGTAAAAAGTGGCTTGTTGAAAGCCACAGCGTTGGAAAACATGTCCTTCATGGTGGTGACAGTATGCACAGAGAAAGTCTCATCAGAGTCACATCACCAGCAGTTTTGCAATCTCGGTTTCTGCACGGATCGAAAAATGCACTCTGATGAAATCACAAAAAAAGTAGAGATGGCTCCACTTACTGGAGCTATAGAATGCCGCTCCAGTTTTGTACGAGATAATAAGAAACGTAAAACCCTTTTGTCCACGACCTGAATCTGAATGCAAATGCATTTATCAAATCTTTATGAAGATACCGTATAACTTTTTCTTTTCAGATGCAGAAAAAATTGCAGACTCTGTGCCCCCTGATGACCTTTTGTCTTTCTTCGGCTACACATTCTCTGTTCTCCAATACAGGGTCTGGTTAAACGAGACGGCATTCTCGAACACGCCATCCATGTCGGTGACGCTTCGCGTGTCCCATAGCCAGAAGCCCGGCAGAGGATTGAAGTTCCCGCAATCGCGAAATATGTATCAGACTGCAAAAGTCCCTCTCCCCCTCTTTTGAAACGGGATTTTTGTTAAATGGAATTGACAGCAACAGAAGCGCTGGCAGAGATGTAGGCCTTGCATGGCCATGGCAAATTCGCTCAGAGATTGTAGATTAGAATCGTAGGCAAATTTACCATCGTCTGAAAGTACTAGTCTAGCTGCAGTGCAAGTGTCGGGGGGCACTAGAGCAGTGTTGTCTCGACTTGTTCCGGAACCTGTCATGCAAGCAGTGCCAAGCAAAACAAAGCAAGACCAGGAGCAGACGAGGGTGGATAAGCATATGGATATGGTATTTTGCATTACAAAGAAGGGGGAAGCGGAACGGTTGTGCACTCTCTTCATAGCATGCGCTTTATCGAAGTGACGTTTCTCACGTCGTACGGTGGCGCCTGGTTGAAGCTGGTTGCGCCCTCGAACATTGACGTCATGTTCCTGACCTGCGTCGTCACCCAGCGGCTGATCGACGGGTCGTTGAAGGAAGTCGCTTCGTGAAACATGGCACTCATGGTCGTCACGCGGCTGACATCCCAATTCAGTGGCTGATTGAAGTCTGCTGCCAGTGCAAACATGGAGCGCATGTCGAACACGTTTCTTGTGTTCCAGTTGCTCACGGAAGGGTTATTAAACCTCGAACACCCCGCAAACATGCCCCGCATGGACTCCACATAACCAACGTCCCAGTTCAGCTCCTGGTTGAAGTCGGAGCAACCGATGAACACGCCGTCCATGATCAGCACGCCCTGCGTCTGCCAATTCGAGATCTTCAAGGACGGATGCCAAAGCGAGCTCCACGGCTCCGGGTCGTTTGTCTGGTCCACATGTGCCTTGCACTGGAACAGGTCGGCGGGGAGGGCAGGTAAAAACCGGACGTCCCAACTGTCCACCGGGCCGTACCTTTCGATCGCTTTTTGCCGTGCCTCGTGTTGCTGCAGCTCGTCTTCATCTCCGGGCGCGGACGCAGGTCGTTGGCCTTCGCAACTAGTACCGCTCACTTGACACTGCTGGCGAAACCGATCTCCTAGTGCCGCCACAGGGTTCTTTTTCCACAATTCTAGTGTGACAACCAGTTCTTCCCTGGTGCGAAATCGATCCCGCAAGAACGAAGGGGCGCCAGGAAGACTTTGAGTTTGCCCCAATGGCACAGTTGGAGCGAAAGCCCAGGCCCAGCAATCCGCGCTGCTCGGCCAGGCGGTGCCGCAGACCGCCTCCAGTCCCAGCGCTTCAACTTTTGGTCCGTAGTTCTCCGCTTCCCGCAGTCGTGCGCGCAGCCGCGTCCCCTCGAAGGGATCCGCCGAGATTTCCTGTGCGTAGAGTTTTCTCACTGAAGAGCGATACCGGTCTTGGGCAAAGATGAATCGGTCCTTCTGTGCGTCCCAGCTCGACAGGTCTTGGTCGAAGCTAAGTGCCTGCCCGAACATTTCTCCGGCGTAAATGGCGTGCCGCTGCTCGGGTGACTGAGAAAACCTCCAAGACTTGATCGAGGGGTCATTAAACCTGTGGGCCCGTCGAAACATCAGGGTGAAGTCTGTAACCTTCCCCACGTCCCAGTTCTCCAGGGCCGCGTTGAAGCTGAAGGCCCGCGCAAACATGATGCCCATGCGCTCGACCTTGCTGACGTCCCATGGCAGCGGCTGATTGAAGCTGTACGCGCTCGCGAACGTCCCCTGCATGCTCTTGACATTTCCCGTCTGCCACTCTCGCACCGAAGGGTCGTTGAACGCATAGCTACCGTCGAACATGTAGCTTTTATGAAGAGCAAAACTTGTAGACCTACTCTCCTGTTCATGTTCTTTTCTGCACTGAAAGCCTGCTGCAACGAGCACGCATAAATAACCACACCCTGCTACAACTATCTTCGTGTTCGTAGCAAAGATCTATGCTACTATTCAAAATCCGGTATCGAATTTTGAAATTCAGCAAGAACCTCAGGAAACGCCATCGCCCAGACTAGCAGGCATGGGCATGGCGTAATGAAATCAAGAAAAACCTTGGCTCGTGTGTTGAGTTTCTTAGAAATATAAACATTCGGGCAGGCCTTCAGGTGCGAAACAGAAGATTTCTAGGTGAGTAAGCTTAATATCTTTCTAACGCCATAATCCATTGTAGTAACCTTCGAAAAATCCCACGGCAGCGCCTGATTGAAAGCTTCAGCACGTTCAAACATATAGTTTGTGTTTTCCAGGCTCGATGTCTTCCAACTGCTGATGTCACTGTTAAACGCTACGCAACCAGCAAACATGCCATACATGGTAACGACTTTCTCTACGTTCCAATACAGTGGCTGATTGAACTTGAAGGCGTTGCAAAACACCAGCTCCATGTTCTGAACGTTTGCGGTGTTCCAATACCGAACACTGGGCTGATTGAAACTCGACGCCAGCTTGAACATGGAGTCCATCGTGGTCACTTTCTGGGTGTCCCAGTAAAGTGGCTGATTGAAACTTGTCGCGTTATAGAAGGTCCACCTCATATCGATCACATTGCTGGTCACCCATTTCCCAATCGACGGCTGGTTGAACGCGGAGCAGTTAGCAAATACGGCAGCCAAGGACACCACTTTACTCACGTCCCAATTCAGCAGAGGCTGATTGAAAGCGGACGCCCCCTCGAACATGCCGTACATGGAGACAACGTCGGACACTACCCACTCACTGATCGACGAATCATTGAACCGCTTGGCATTTCGAAACATGAGCTGCATGTGCTTCAGCTTGCTGACGTCCCATCGGACCGGTTGGTTGAACTGCCCTGCTTCAGAAAACATGAATGCCATGTCAATGACATTACCGGTTTTCCAATCGCTGATGGACGGACTGTTAAAATCCCAGCAGTCGCGGAACAGCTCTCTCATGTTCTCGATCCCGCTGACGTCCCAGTGCAGCGGCTGGTTAAAATCGTAGCAGCCTTGGAATAGGCCAGCGAGGCTTGTCAGCTTGCCTTTGATCTTCCAGTTAGAAACCGAAAAGGAATTGTGCCATTGCTTTGCCCACGGCTTTCTCTCCCCTGGATGCTTCGCGCCAGTCCTTTCGCAGCGAAACAGATCTTGTGGAAGTGACTTCAAGTGTCCAAGGTCCCACTCACCTACAGGACCATAGCTGATCTCAGCCCGCCTTCGCCGGGCCGCCCACACCTCCTTCTCCTCCGTAGCGAGGTCGGCGTCGTTCTGGAAGCTATTGAGTGCACGGTCAAGATCCTTGGCTGAATGAAAGATCCAAGGCTTATTTTGCGGAGACACGAAGAGCCCACGGGTATCGGTCAAGAGCCGAGTACGATGAACGAAAAGGGACAGGACTTCATGTTCGAGAGCGAAGTCCACAGGAGCCTCATGAGCTTGTCCGCGCGGTGTAGTCCGGACCGGCCTGCGCTGAGATGAAGCCGACGACGCTCCGTCACTCTCCCCCCCAGAGTCCCACCCAAGAAAAGCCGCACTCGCCTGTGGAAGAAAAGCCGCACTCGCCTGCGAAGCCACACTGCCCGCGCTAGAAGCCGAATCCCTGGAGGGTGGGGGTGAGGCTGAAGATGAGCTCGAAGACTGCGCGGCAACCACCGAAATGAAGGACGGAGCGCTGGATTGCCACGGCATCCATGTCTGCGGCGCTCTGGTTCGGGTTTGTCGTTCCAGTGACTCCGCTTCCCATCTTCGATCAGAGAGCAGGTCTCGTCGAATGCGCGAGAGGGAGCGCTCAAGCATAATAGAATCCCAATGCAGTGTCTGGCTAAAGCTGGAAGCACCCGCGAACATACTACGCATGTCGTAGACCTTGGTGACATTCCAATCCCTGATACTTGGCTGGTCGAAGTTTTCGCAGTTGCGAAACATTTCTGTCATGTTTTGGACCTCACTAGTGTCCCAAACCAGTGGCTGGTTGAAAGCAGTGCATCCCGAAAACATTGCGGCGAAGTATGCTTGCAAAGTTTTGAGCTGTGCCTGCGCCAAATACCATGAACGCACAGTGCCTCGTCTCAAGCAATCTTGTTGTGCGTTGCTTTCCGCATCGTGGTGCGAAAGCGAAAGTGGATACGCCACGCATGCCAATTCTTTTGCTCCTTCTCATCAAAAGATGGCTTTTCCTTTTAGTCCCTAGCATAGGTGCGCCTGGAGCTTCTACTAATATACCTATTCGCCTCGTCTGGACGTTCCGTGCATGGAAAGTTGAAGTAGCTCAAAACTTTCTATCGCGTATCATGTCTTCGACTTTGCTAACGTCCCACCGCAGTGGCTGGTCGAATGCTACGGCATCGAGGAACATGTCTCTCGTACTTTTCAGGCTCGTTGTCTGCCAATCGCTGAGGGAGGCGTGGTTAAACGTCTCGCAGCCACGAAACATGCTTTTCATATTCGCGACGCTGCGGACGTCCCAAGGAAGAGCCTGATTAAAAATCGTCGCGCCGGCAAACATCGATGACATGTTCGTCACCTTACCCATCTGCCAAGGGAGTGGCTGGTTGAAGTCCTCCGCGCCCTCAAACATGTGACTCGTTTCGAGAAGGCTATCGGTCTGCCATTCGCTTACCGATGGCTGATTGAAGGCGGCGGCGTGTTGAAACATGGCTGTCATACGCGTGACACCTCGAACGTTCCACCTGAGTGGCTGATTGAAACTCACTGCATTCTCAAACAGGTGACGCGTATCGGTCAGGCTGTCTGTGACCCATTCGCTGACTGACGGATCGTTGTATGCGACGGCGTTTCTAAACATTGACTTCATGGTTGTAACAAGCCGCATATTCCACGGAAGCGGCTGGGTGAAATTTGCCGCACTCAGGAACATCCATTGCAAATGTTTCTGCCTCTGGGTCAGCCGAAGTTGCAAAGCGCCCTGTGCTGGAGCGCACAAAAATCTGTCTTGCCAAACTGCCTTTTCTTGATCAATTTGTTTCTGCTGCAGAACAGGTATTGCAAATCCCAAACACGACCTGCGGCACTACATCCTGCACTCCAGACAACAATCAAGGTCAAGGAGTAGGAAGAAGCTGCATCACAAAGTTCTGCGGTCGTCCAGACACAGACTACAATTTTGCAATGCATAAGGAACATGCTGCTTGTGTTTGTCAGGCTATCCGTTTGCCACGCACTGATCGATGGGTCGTCGAACGCAAGGGTCTCTGCAAACATGCCTTCCATGGTCTTGACGCGCCGAACGTCCCACTGGAGCGGTTGGTTGAACGCTCTCGCCTGTCGGAATACGCCATCCATATTGACCACGCGTGCGGTGTTCCACGATCCCACGGACGGGTCGTTGAAGTTAAAACAACCTGAAAACATGTAGCTTATGTCTTCCACAGTGCTAGTGTCCCAGTACAGCGGCTGGTTAAAGTCGACGCACCATTCAAAAAGGCCTGCTAGAGACTTGACGCCCGTCGTGCGCCAGTGGCTGATGCGAAGTGACGGCAGGTACTGCTGCGTCCACTGTTCGCCGCCACCGCCACGGTAATAGAAATGATCATAGTCATGGACACTGCAGAAAAGATTGGCAGGGAGAACCGGGATCGCACCCACGTCCCAGTGCTCAATCGGCCCGTACTTCGCTTCGTCCTCGTCTCTCTGCCTTTGCCGGTTCCGCGTTAAGCGCTCAGCCTCAGTAAGACCGTCATCAAGCCCGGGCTCGTTTGCGGTCTCGACGTCTTCATTGGGTGCCGGCGGCAAATTTTGGTTGCTGTTCCTTGAACTCGTGGAACGAAAGGAGGACCGGGAGGGAGATCGCGACGGAGTTATCGAGGGAGGCGGAGTCGGCCTCGCCGAGGAAGACGTCGAAAAGAAGTAGTTACGACGCCGCCAGGCGAGAGTGACAGGACGAGGAGGACGCCGGGCCGAAACAATCGCGTGGTATTCGTCAGTCCGCCAGTGGCTCAGGGCAGTCTCCAGCTCCTCTGCGGATCGAAAGACTTCAAAAAACATGTTGTCGCGCTTCTTCAGACTTTGTTCTGCAGCTGCCACCTCCTTGCCTACCGTTTTGGATAAACCGCTGAGCTTTGTGTAATCTCGACGGGTGCGCAAAAAACCGTCGAACAGCCGCTCCTCCACGTTTTCGACAGGCAACTCAGAGAGAAACGTGTGCTTCGGAAGCAATTTCTGCGCTACATCTGCCGTCGCGGCGGCAGTGGCAGTGGAGTTGGCAAGCGCTTGTTCAGACAATTGTAGCTCGTCCCTGGCGGACGCGGATGTAAACGCAGCCTGCTTCAACAGTCCTCCTTGTTCAACTCCTGGCTCAGCGGAAGCACCGTCGCCTTCCCCTTCGCTGCTGGCCATTTCTGCTTTTGTAATTCCTCGAGCACACGTTGCTGTAGTGGTTGTCTCAACTTCTGATCCTGTGCTGCCTTCAGTGCTTTTGCACGGCGACTCGTTCCGGTTGCTGCTGGACGAGGCAGGGGACACGCCCGCAGTGATGCCACTCGTATGCTCCACACCAGAATCGGATCCGGAAAAGGCCGTGGTGCCCGTTCCAGTGTCACTTTTGGATTTGGCCTGACCAAGAACATCGTCTGCGATGACGGGTTGTTTTCGGAATTCCGATCCGGGCACCTGGACGTTTTCGTCAATTTCTCCCTCTAGAAGGGGCGTCCCGGATTTTGCATCGCCATAGCGAGCAAAAAATCCAAGGATTGATATGCACACAAGCGCGCGGGCGTGAACCCAGGCTGGTTTCGTGGCGGCAAAAGTGCCGAAACCATTTCCGGACGATGTTCTCATGGTTTTTCGTATTGGTATTTGTATTCGAGCTTTTCGATTGGAGGCGCGACTACCGAAGTACCGCGAAAAAAGTTGCAGTTTAAAGCGTGTACGAGTTCCCTCCTAGTAATTGCGCTCTCGATCTCGTGTGCGAATAAGATGACATCCCAATCATGCGTGTGAAGAGTCAGAACGAGGAAGGAAGGCTATACCTCTTCAATATGAGGGTCAGGTAAAACTAAAACCATCAGTAAACGTATTATAGAAATTGCGTTTACAAGTGCAAAGCAGCTCGGGAGCTGAATCTTGTTGCCGCTGCGCCAGGTCCGAAACAGAGAGAATAAACCTGGAAGAGCTTCCATTTGGTTCTAAAAATTGATGAATGTCGGTTCTGGGCGTCTAGTTATTCGAATTTCGCCTCAATGTTTATGTACGTAGATCTAGGCAAGGGGGGCGGGCCTTTAGGATCAAATCCAAGTCCGTCGTAGAGTGATAGTGAATGCCCACTCATACAAAACTTCTAGAGACTTAATTTAATGCGATCGGTTGATGTTTGATGGAGCGATGTGTTCCTCTCCTAGTCCTAGGATCAAGCGTTGTTTTGAATGAGGAACCCCTCGAAGAACAGCATGATTGGAATCGCATCCACGTCCTACCAGCAATTCTTTTTCATCTTCGTGCCCTACCTTTGCGGCGGCGATGAACTGATGAAAGTTTCATAGACTTACTTTTGAAATTATTCGGTCGTCCTTGACAAGGTTGCGCCCTCTTTCTGTTATATCTTCATTTGCAAAGATCATGATAGGTTTCTTGGAATGAAAGAACAAATAAAACGATATTTCTACCGCAGGAGCTGCCTGCGACGTTCGCGTTGGCAAAGTCAAAGAACGGCACTTATATATCAAATCAGAATCACGCCGCCTCGTCCTCGCCATCTACTGGAGGAGCAACCTCGTCTGCTGCTGCTCCTGCCAGGAATTCAAAAGAGTCCTCTACTTGCACAACTTCTGGACCTCCCGAAAGAACATCAACCGCAGCGTCTTTTCCTGGCGCCACCGCTGCAAACGCGTACTGCAACACGTCCTCGTTTCCGGACAGTGCTCGTTCGAGTAGCCGTGTGAGAACCTTCTCCGTGATCGCAACTGTCTCGCACTGCAACTCCTCCACACTTTTGACGCCGAACTTCTGGAAGAGTTCCAGGGTGCGCATCGAGCCGCATTCGCAGATCGTCAAGTCGTTCGCGACCAAGAACTTGGACAAAGGTTGGAAAAAAGGGCTTGAAGAAGTACAATTTGTGTCATTTGCCGAAGTATCACGACTGCTATTGGTCTTGCTTCTCCTCTCCCCAGAACTAGAACTTTTTTTGCTCCTACTAGGGACAACAACGCTCGTTTTGTAGGGCTTGATCGTGATTTTCGCTTTATGATCGCATTCCTCGTTAAACAATACCGCCGGGAAGACCTTTCCGGTCGGAAATTCTGCATGATAGAGTTGAATCTTCTCCCAGGTGCCCGAATCCCCAAAATCGAATTCCAAATGCTTTGAAGGCTTTTTCTCTGGCGCCTTGTTGAGTTTGTCCTCGGTAGAAATACCGTCCGACGTCGTCGTGACAATGCTTTTGTTTTTCATCTTTTCGCTTGCCTTCCACCCGAATCGCATCCGAACCACGTTGCTGCCATTCGGATTCGAGCCTGGCATGATGCGGGTTTCTGTGCCAAATTTCGCGGAATTCCACGGGACCGAACGCGCGTTGTCCGGCCCGCCGCACTGAATGCACAGATCCTTCCCGCCACAGGAGTTCACGAAAAAACCGCGCTGCACCCCGGGCAGGATCAGCGGGTTCTCCCCCGTGAAGAAATTTTTCAGCGAAGGCACCGCCGGGTAGAGGCCCAACATCACGTAGTGCTTCTGCCAGTAGTCGTACGACATGGTTAACTCAAATTCCTCCGTCTCCGTGAAAACAATAGTCTGCCAGCTGCCACCGCCCGATGTGTCGTTCACCGTGCACGAAAGTACTATCCGGGGTAAATAAACCGTCTCAGTAACGACCCCAGACTTGTCTTTTATGACATGCAATTTTGCATATGCATGCCCAGGACGAACTAACAGGATGCTAATATTCATGCGCAGCCAGTACACGGGGAGCTTTTATTACTTAACTGGAAAAGCAGTTGATCGACATCGATTTGCGATGTGGCTGGAATAAAACTAGGGTGGAACAACAGTGAGAGTCCGAGACACTAGACTGTCATGCGCCACGGTCAAAGCTTGCTGATTTGTGTAGCAAACACCCTATCTTGACTATGGGGTCGTCAACATGGGGACGTTTTTACTAAGGATAAACTCCCCCGGGGAACTACTCGAGGGCTCCTCCAAGGTCAGATAGCTCCCGCCGCACACGATTCCAAGCGGAGATAGCGTTTCTGTAGCTTTTCCGGCAGCGGGAACAGAGGCTGCGGGATCAGCGAGATTCGTCAAATCAAGCGCATTCGTCGCAAGAACGTCACCCTTCTTTCCGCCGGCGAATAGCGGCGCTCGCACGTTGCTCTCAAGTGAAGTCTGCAAATTTGCGAAAGCGGAGCTGTTACCGTTGGTCGTCGTGGCGGTATCGTAACTGTTTTCCCCGTTATTTTCGACGCTTCTCCTCACGGCCGCGACCAACGAGCCAACGGGGGCTTTCAGAATACCAACGAGAAAGTCCGCAAAATCGCTACCACCCTCGACAAACACCACTTGGCCGTCTTTTCTCAGAATATCGACCTGCATCTTTCAACAGAAAAAGGTAAATATCTTCAAGAGGGGTCGTCTAAAGAGTACCAAAAGAGGCCAAGCACAGAACAAGGAAAACCAAAAAAAAAGCTGTTCTAGATACGTGCGGGCCAGGTAAAGGTAAACGCCAAACTTACTGCGAATAGATACACACCAACCGAAATGGATATAAACTGCGAATAGATAGTACACACAGGCCCGCCGTGGTCCACGGCCTCCTCCCGAAATTTTTATTCTTGTATTGGACGGAAAAGTATATTGATCTATTGCAAAAGTTAAAGGGACTGTGTGTGGGGAGCTGTAGCCTTTTTATGCGTAGGGAAAGGCAGTGGCATCTCCTATCGTCAATCATGATACTCAAAAACGAAAGGTCCTCGTGGTGCATTACCCTCGGTGGCGATCATTGAGACCGAAAAGGTACTTAAGCATGGGGTAAAAAAGTTAACCGATGGATTGGTTGCCTCATGTTTTTGTAGCCTCATGAGCAGTTCTTGTTTTGCCGACATTTTGCATTTTTCGAATCATATCAAGTACAAATCAAAAAATGCTACAGGTGATGAAGCACAAAGTGCTAGCGCCGACCTTGTTCGTCGCGTTCCACTTCACCGAGCAGATTTTTTCTCTTCGAGTTTTCGACTGCGAGTAGGTGTACACACGACTGCAACGATGCTAGCTTCTCTTGCAACGAGTTGCCGCAGAAGACAGTGACAGACGTATAGGGATAAACAAAAACACCGATACTCGATGAAAACGCATAGCCTTCAAGTGACAAAACGAAACAGCTAACTAATTGCCCACGTTTCTGTTGGTGTGTGTATCAGATAACTCAACAGATTATACTCGCATACTTCTTTAACTTTAGCAGCAGGAAATTTTTCGAGTCCATGAAAACAGAGCTTTATTCTCGTTGCGCGACGGACATGGTTCCTCAGCATGAACCATAAGAAAAACAAAAACCGGCACCGGTAGAGGCGACCACTATACCTTTTTCTTTTGCACAGTGCTGCTTGTTTTCCTGATCAAAAGGCACGTAGCGCGCATCAAAAGGGCATCAGGGTGAGCGGAGGGTGCAGAGGAGACCACACAGAATATCATACATTGGAGAGAACAGAATATCATACATTGGACCAGCGTACTTAGAAGTTTTGTACAATAGCGTAGAAGTCAGTTCCAAAAATTCGAAGAAGTGCAACAAGCACTGAGTCGGATCCAACAAAAAACCGTCGGAAAGTATCAATCTGCTAGCTGTTTATTTGCCCGTGCAGGAACGTCCGGTGAATCGTCAAAACGCGAGGCATCGCATCAAAATAGAAAATGGTCGTACTTTACAAAACAAGACAATTTACTGCAAACACATACCGAACAAAAGAAGAAGCACAATGAACTTAGTTTTTAGTATCGTGATACTAGAAGTGGCAGCTCGGTTCAAAATATAAATACTTATTCAAAACATGTAGGGAGCAAGGCGAGAGAGTTCGTCACCCGCAAACGTCGCGACAAATTATAGTGCTCTCACGCTGCGTTACGATGTTCGCTGTTAAAGCAGCCCAGCATCAAGCCGGACCTAGTAGCGGACCCATCCGCGAGATACTTGCTCTAAACGTTCTTGGACACGATCCCACGGCAGCTCAAACGCCCGTGTCCAACAGTCTTTATTCATTGGCCAGGAGTTGCCTCTGCCACAGCCGTCGACTAGAGCCATGCGGTGAGAAACAACCGTTCCTCTAGGCATCCGCTCTGTGTTACTACACTCCGTGGTGTCCGCAGGTTCAAATTTTTTACGACTTCGATGGAGATTGCTAAAGTTTGCCAGTATCACCGCACCCCACGTCTCGAGGTTTTGGTCAAATGCGGCAGCGCCCCAAAACATACCGCTGACCGCGCGCAGATTCGGGCTCAACTTCCAACTCCCGAGGTCCTGATTGAAGCTCTTGGCATCCTGAAACATTCCGGACATATGCTCTACGAGGCTCACGTTCCACGAGCGAATTGAAGGGTCGTTGAAGTCGTCACAGCCCTGAAACACCCCGTACATGTGCCGCACCGTACTTGTGTCCCAGTGAAGCGGCTGGTTAAAACCCTTACCGCAGCCTTGGAAAGCATAGCTCATTTCTTTGATGCCTCTGGTCTGCCAATGCGAGACCCGAAAAGACGAGAGATACACGTCAATCCACCGCGACGCTTCGGCTTTCACCCCCTTCTCCAAAAAACAATTTAGCGCAAGCTTCCTTCTCCAAAAAACAAAACTCCGGAAGCCGGTCAAGCTGGCCAACGTCCCACTGCTCCACCGGCCCGTATTTTGCCTCGGCGGCGTACCGAAGATCCTCGTAATATTGCTCCTTGGTGTTGAGATTATCTTCATCATCATCATCATCATCATTGTCTAGACCACGTCTCTCATTCCTGTATTCATCAGTCCACCACAGTTGCATCACTTCCTCGAGTTCCGGCACAGAACGGAAAGGCTCGTAGACTTTCTGTCCGTTTTTCCGCAGGCTGCTTTCCGCTAGCTGCAAGGCTGCCCTGGTTTTTTTCGAGACCCGCGTAAGTTTCGCGAACTCCCGCCGTGTGCGGAGAAATCCCTGGAGAAGGTAATGCTGGAAAGGATTGCCTTCGTCTTGCAAGCTGCTGGCCAGGTCAAACTCAAACGCTGGAGGGCGAGGGATCTCAGTAGTAGAGCAGGGTTTAACTCCTAGTTCGCAGGATTCTAATTCTTCGTGTGCACGCAGGTACTTAGAAAAGTTAGAAAAATAGCCGCCGTTAGCGTGTGCTTCTTGCTGTGTAGTAGAAAGCGCGGTCACGTCCGCCGTGTTGCCTGGTTCGCAGGCAAGCAACAAATCAAAATCTTCATCTGGTGCTGCATTGGTATTACCGGAAGCATCAATCCGGGGTTGGTCATCGGCAAAGGAAGTACAACTTCCCGCGGTAGAACGTTGTTGCTGCTTGTGCTTCTCAGGCTCGACTACACTGGCAGTGACTTTAATTGTGTTTGCCAGAGATACGGCCGTCAAGATTTTGAACGCCAACAAATTACACATCGTGATAAGGTTTCTAGTCATATTCTACAACAACTTGAAACTGATGTACAATCAGGAGCGCCGATGAAAGATAAAGATTCCAAAAAATAAGACTACTTAGCCTGAAACTGAATGACAGAAGGATCCGATCGACATCAACAGTCGGACTACTCGCAATGTTGGTTGTATGTCTAATCTTGGTCGTGATCCCATCCTTGATAGCCTTTTTGGATTTTTTGACTACGCTAGATGAAAGAGGCAGTTTCAAAACTGGACTCAATATGGATCGTTTGCGTTTTCCTTTCAGAACAGGCCCAGATTACGGCAACTACTACTGCACAACGTCTCAATGTGGTGGTCCTTCTTGTATTTTTGTTGTTTGCATTCCACAGAAAAAAAATCATCAAAAAACTTCGGCTCAGGAGAAAGTAGTCAAAGTCCTGTCGTGGCGTTGTATCTTGATCTTCATCTTGGTCGCTGGACTCGGACACGAACAACATCAACACATTGTTTTTTTTGTGCCGAGTAACTACGCACCATAGCGGTAAGATGAAATTGTGGCATTTCTACGGTTGTTGATATATGAAATGCGGGGTTATCAGTATCACTTACACTTTCATTTCAGCAGAAATTGTTTGAAGGTCAGAAAGTCTTCGTTGTCACCGTATGCATTTCAAAAGTATCGTAGGAGTGCAAATTCCATGACAAATTTCCAAAACAAACAACAAATAAAATGAATTTCGTTTTATGAATAGTCATGCCGAAAAAGCAAAAGGTAAGGACAGTTGCCAGGCTATATATCATCCTGGAAAATGCAATTTTGTACGTGTACGAGTACGATACTTTTGTAGTTGGTACATCGTCCAGGTTGACAATTAGTTGGTTGTGGCTCCCGTGCCTTTGGACCAACAAAATGGGTTCATTATACGAGATTTGCTTTTCCGTCAAAACCGATGTCACAGCCGCCGCAATGTCACTGGACATGTCCGCATACACCACTTCGTCAAGTTCCTTCTCAATGATTTTTATGCGCATTTTTCGACGTTGTGTGCTTTCTTGGGAACTTGTTCGACCACCGCCCTGAAGCTCAACAGCATCCAGATTGCTCACCATGTTCTCCTTCATCTCGTATGACAGCGCACAAAGCTCCCCCTCTCTCTCATTTCTTGAAGGGCATGATCCGCAGCAATACAAGCGGCGCCGGCATCAAGAGTGCAGGGTCTTCTGCATGCCAAATTTTACGTCACACAGGATGACAGGTCTGTTTGAGAGCCTGTCCTTGTGCATACCAACGGCAAAGAGGCAGAGATACAGAATCGAGTTGGTCGTGTTTTGAACAACGAGGTGGAATTGTGCACTCTCATATCTGCTCCTGAGGAAGTTGTTGAAACTTCTCCGCGTTTTGCCCCACAAACCTCGCAAGATTGTCGATGGTGCTCTCTTATCCTGTGCAAAAGTATCGCACTCGTATGTTGGTATCTATAAATTGCAGCCACTTCATGCAGTATGAGTTTACTTTCCACCTGATCCAGAATGACAAACTGCATTTTTGATTTGTGATGCGATGTATAGATAAAGATACCAGTGCGATTTGTGTGCAATGCATATCTCGGGCCCATGCCGTGCGGGGAAAAAGAAAGGCGCAAACGGATAGGTGAAGAAATGCGTTTTGCGCAAGAAGATGTTATAGCTTGAATCGAAACACGCTTCCAGGACGACGTGGGTAATTTTGGAGACAATTACGTCACTCAACAAATTCAAGGCGCCGGTCAATACCATGCAGCCAAGGGAAACCCCATGGACGATGATTTTTGGCAATGATAACGGGTCGTGTGTTTCTCTTCGTTCGTTTGTACCAGCGGCGCCATCCACTGTCTGCATGATTCCCTCCGCTAGCAGCGCCGCGGCCCTCTCCTGCACATGCACTGGGCTCATAACGTGGCCTATCCGAGTGCACAGCTCGATCTCCCCCGTCTTTGCATGGCGTGTACAGTAACGGAAGCAACCGCAACAGTGAGAAGTAAGTAAGTAGACCACTGCAGCTTCTGCTTGACAAATGCACACGCAGAGTGTAGTGCTGTTTGGCGTGGTCGTCCCCGAACTTCATCGCATGCAGTGGCGGAAAACGTCAACCAGTAAATTTGGAACTTTGTATGACCAATGAGGGCGGGAAATAGAGCTGAATTTGCGCAATCTCATATGCTCGGTGTCGCCGATGTTGGCCCGGTAGCCCGGATACGTGTGGAGAAAGGTGGTCACAGACGAGGAGGGGGTCGCGCTTGTTCTGGTGGCTGAGGATCGGTCGTGCACACCTCGTTGCATTGGTTCCTCGTTCAGCAGAATGCGATTTGCCACCTGAAATGCGTCGTTGAATGAGTGCGAAATTCCTGCGCCGTTGCCGTGGAAGAAAAAGTAAGCCGCGGGAGGGGCCCGGGCCGATTTTCGACTGGTAGCCTTGGAAAATTTGCACGAAACGGAAGCTCCAGGAGACAGCGCCTGTTCAACGGTGGGAAGATCAGCGGGACGTCCTGTGCTGCCTCCAGTGCGGAGGACAACTCTGTCGCAGGAGTAGGCTGCGAGATCATTGTTCATTCCATTGCTGTTTTCACTGGCCAACATCGTGTCGTGACTACTTCTTAGTGCACTTTGTTCTTCTACTATTCCACCACTCGAAGATGCTCCTGTTGCACTTCCGACCTGCTCCTGTTCAGGCTCTACGATCGGCAAGCCCAGATACCGCCTGGCGATTGTATCCCACGAAAAAAGTGCTTCACTGTGATGATCTTGCAAGATCTGCATCACAAGTTTGTTACACATGACACAGAAAATTTGCCATGTGCGCTTCCCAAGGGAAAACACGCTAAAAAATCCAACATCTTGCAGGTGTAGCAAGACAAATCGTTCTGTGCTCCATTCTCTGCATCACAAGTTCACTGTGAAACAGTTTTTCTTTTTCCTTGCGATAGATTGTGCGCCACTTGTAATCTGGCGAGTTCATCAACAAGAAAGCAGTTTTATCCTGTGCAAAAGTATCGTACTCGTATTGCAATCATGCATTGCAAATCCTTCTCTTAGAAGGGTAAATCAGCATTAGAAATTTTATCTCTCACGCTGAGGAAATTTGTAATGCATTTATACGAGTAGGAGTACGATACTTTTGCAATTCATAAGTTTGCCGGGGAACGAAGTGAATTCGGTCGAACGCCAAGGGGTAGAGCGCGACGCGGCCAACGATGAAAAGCAGGATACCGACAAAAAGGTAACCCAGCAGCAGCGCACGGAGGATCTTTTTCAGCTTTCGCTTGCACACCGTGAACTTGCCGACTGGGGTGGACAAGAGGGTGATCATCGCGCTGCTGTCTGAAACTCCTGCGGCACCGGATGGGGTAGTGTGCGCCCCGGCGGAGTTGGATCTTCGTGCATCGTCGGTTGAAAGGAGTATGTCAATAGCAACATCAGCCTGATTGTTCAAAACCTCCAATCCTCCTGTTGCACTAGTGGCAGTTGCGCTGGCGCCTCCTGACACCACGTTAGAGAGTGTCCGAGTGCCGTTCGCCCTCGCCACGGTATCCTCTACAAAAGTATCGCATCCGTACTAGTCGCAGTCGTGCGTGACAGGTCCATTTTTCGACCTGAATGATCTAACGTGACAAGTTGCAGGATTTTCGTTCGCCAGAAAAAGAAAATTTGGAATGCGATTTGGAATAGTAGTACGATTACGATATATACTTTTGCAGTGCATACGCGGACGGCGAAGTCGACGCGCTTTCGGGTGCGAGAAGCTGCAAGGACTGCTCAACATCCGGACTGGTGCCGAGCAAGCCCGGCGAATGCAGGTTTTCCATCCGTGGTCGACCGGGAGACGTTGGCGAGCTGATGCTCCGGCGCGCCATCGCGGTCTGATTGTACATTGCTCCAGTGGCGGACGAAGATGTTGATGGTTGCGACTGTCCGTGACTGCGGTCCGTGTCGGTAATCAGGGTCAAACCACTGGCACTTCTGCCAGGAGTTGCATTAGGAGCCGAATGCGGTGGAACAAGTCCACCTACTCCGGCAGAATTCGGCGCGCTGTCAGCATTCACGAGCGCCCGTTCATTGGTATTGCCCCTCTCATCCCCACTTGGACCTGCCCCTGCGCAGCTATCCTTGGAGAAGTTCCTCCCCTCTAGCAGCTGAAAATCATTTGAATTCAGCATGGCACAGAACGTGGCTGTGTTTTCGCGCATCAGCTCCTGCAGATCAAAGTCATTCAAAATGGTGGTCGCGTGGAGCAATCCCAGCCGGATTCTGTTCCCGTGTCTCGAAACAACAATTTCCGTGAGTCGGAAAAAAGGCGCCAGCAAAACCGAAACAGATCTTCGCGCAAGTGCCGCGTAGGCTCGCAGACGTTGAAGGTACCTGCGCCACGTCGGACGAGGACCCGCGTCTTCGTTAATATCAAGCGATCGGCCATTTGCTCTCGACGGATCTTCGCCTCGAAAGTATGATGCTTGCTCCAGTCCTCTGTGGTACTCCTGTTGTCTGTTGTCCCGACATAAAAAACGATCGTCGATCGCCACGACCTGGTTGAGTTCTAAATCCGACTGCATGACCCTCATCTCCCGGACCGATAGAGCAGGATTATGGCCTCCCCCACCTCCCCCAGACTCGATAGTATCTTCATCACCGGTGTAGTCGTAGGCCGCCTCTCCACCAGGGCGTGCTGTCACCCGGGTCGCGGACTGATTGTTCAGCAGCTTCTCCTCACCCTCGTCTCCCCGGCCGCTGTAAGAGCCATCCTCTACAGCAGAAAACGCAGACAAACAGCTGCCCTTATTTGTTCCGTCGCAAAAGTTCAAAACCTGCATCTGCGACCACTGCAGGCGCGCTTTCAGGAAAAGGACCAACGGGAAAACGAGGTGGATCAGAGACGGAAGCAGAAATTCTACGATTGCCTTCCATAAAACCATTCCCAAGCGCAAGAAAAAGTTCTGCTCTCCATCACCTCCGCCTTCGTACACCGCAAACGGGAGAAAGAAGCTCGAGGGCATGTAACGACTTCCGTAGGCTTTTCTGATGCCGTGGGGAGAAACCAGTGCGTGCGAAATTGTTACTCGTCGTTCGCCGCCGGCAGAAGAGTTTTCCTCGCCATCTTCTCCCAAAACTCCGGCTTGCTGGTAAAGCTCGATCGTGGTGCGCTGCTCAGTGCGGTAAGTGTTCGTGTTTGAAGCACTACTTCTGCTGGTGTCGACATAATTCGATTGATTTTCGTTCGAACCAGCGCTCCTCGTCGCGCCGCTGTAGGCATTCGCAGCTATGCTACTGTAGGCGGAGGAAGTTGTAGTTCCCGGCGAATTGTGGTTGCTCACGGGTATTTGCACGGGATACTGCAGCACCTTCATCTCAATATCTCCCTCCGCCAACCAGTTTGAGAGCTCCCAACTGCTCCGCGCAACCACCGAAATGGCGCAAACGGCGAGGAGTGCGAACAGAGGGAAGAAAAACTTGGTCAGGGTCTGTGCGTTGGCTCGGTGGAGCAAAGCCGCAATCTGCTTGTTGAGATGCTGTTGCAACCGGGTAATTGTGGACAATGACGAGGTCGTAGTTTGCTGTAATTCCAATGGGCTGCAATTTTCGTTCTTTCCATCTGTGTAATTAATCATGCCGTTGGAAGCTGCAGCAGTCGCCGTACTAGAACTACCAGAAGTAGGAAGTTGTTGTAACTCCCTTTGCCTCAACTGTTGCTCTTGTTGAAGGGGAAATAAACCGCTACTGTTGCTGTACAAGCTGGAAGTATTTTCGCGACCAGATGATGAAAAATTTTCGTCAGAAGGGTCGCAGCTGCTGGTAGTCTTGTTCCCTCTAAGATATTTGTGCCTCAGTCGTTCTTGCCCGCGCCGACCAGACCCAGAACCGCCCCCGCACTTCACCAAGACTCTGAGTAGCAGATACAGTGCCATGCAGTAACTGCACCAGAGGATCCCCGCAATGGCAAAGATGTAGAAGAGAGTGTAGAAGATCGTGGTGGCGATGATGATCTGCAAATTCAGCGACTCCCCGACGTCCTCGGTCCAGAACCAGGTGAAGTTTTGCGGCGGCACAATGGACAAGCTGGAGAAGTAGCTTTGGCCCAGGTACAGCTCGGCATTCAACAGTGCGAAATAGAGAGAAAACAGGAAAATCAGGTGCCTGGGATGCTTTAAGGGTTGCGTCACGGCTCGGTGGACCGGCTTTATGCAACAAGTGCGGAGGAACCACTTCATGTTCACGATGTGCTATCGTGTTTTGCGGTAAGCGTAAGTATCAATTTGATGTAAATCTGTGTTCTTGTTTGCATAGTAGACAGATATTTTTTGGATACAGGACGACCGCAGCAGAGTGTTGAAACTAACTGCGATGGTGGTGCGTGGCATATTTATGTTTCTCAGCTTTGCTGTCGATCCCCACGACCAAACAGAAACAATTTGTTATATGCAGGCAACGCAAGTAGAAGTGACTCGCGATCTACATCGCTCATTTGTGCTCATTTCAGCCTTGCCGATTGGCGGTAGAGCCACTTCAGCCTCCTCTCAACTTAGCCTCCACCCATTTGTATTTCTTTGCAGCACGACCCCAATACCAGTAGCGTGACACTGACATCTGCTTCTCGCACTCGCTCCTCCGGTTAATGAGTCGGTAGACAGACCGACCCTACTTATCCGCGCCTCTCAAACACAAACATCAGACCGCTTAGTATAAGCTCACTCGATCAGTCACTCACGTGCGTGCTCTGAGCAACGCTAGTCAAGCTGCACGCTTTTCGTTTTCTCCTCCGACGTGAAAGCTCTCAGCTACAGCTTCAGGACGCACAAGACGAGGGGCGAACAGGATGAAGCAAGTCTGCGGTGGCTCCTGTCTTCGCTGCGCACAAGACGAGCTATGTGAAGCAAGTCTGTGTCGGTCGCTCGCTGTGAAATATCAATAGCGAAAACGGCTTCTACTACTGCGTTCTTTGTTTTTTGTACAGTGTCCGGCAACTCCAGGGCAAGACAACATTCAATGACTGGTCTGGAAGACGGAAATTGGTAGAGATGAAACACAAGAAGAGTGATAGTGTGCGTAATGTTATGGAGACTAAGACTATTCACAAGCAGCAACTAGGTTGTAGGCATGATAAAAATAATTTTGAAACTGAAACCTAAATTAGATGAGTTTTTTGTTTTGAAGAAGAGTGAATTACTTTCGACAGAACGAACACTACGAGGTAGTATGCTTAGAGTTGTAGTACTTGATTCAGTGCCAGCACAACTTTGCAGCCTGCTACACACGACAGTGTAGTTGTTCGTTCTTCTTGTGCTTCTAGTACCACGACGGTGCTGCAGCGGGACCGAAACCGGAAGCACAACTTCTCGGCTCCGCCTAGTGCTGGTGCTCCTCCGCAGCAGCTTCTTCTACCGGCGTGGTGTCATCCGCGAGAGCAACGTCGCTTTGCGAATATTCTTTCGCACTACTGCTGTTACTACTTGTTCCGGAACAAGCACGAGTTTTTTTGTTGGGAACATCAACTACGTTGTTTTTCACTCGATTCAACACGTGGCGTCCAACCACAACCTGGCCCTTCTTCGGCATCCAGCGCGGCGACATGGTACGAAAATCTTCGTTTTCGACATCTTCCTGCCTGTCCAAGCGGTAGTGAGAGGACTCCTCGTGGAGTAAACTGCTAGCACCTCCTCCCTTAGGCGCCGGCAGAACTGCAGCTCCCTGCGGCGTTAAATTTCTCTTTTGCTGCTGCTGGTCAGATAAAGTTGATGAAGCGTCGCGATTCACTGGAGCTCCGTTACCGTTACCCAGTTCATTGGTAGCATTTTCATTTTCTGCTGGTGCGCTCCGGCCGAGATACCTGGGGTCGATGGTAAACAGCATCTCGTGCAATGCGTTCTGGCAGTACGTCAACGCGGCCGAAGCATGACTGCTGTTTTGCCCCGCACCCGTGGCTCCGGCGGATCGGTCGTGGTTGGTCGTCAGAGGTGTGGAAGATGAAGAAGCAGGTGCCAACGGTGTGGTTGTACTGCTCGCATGAGTTGCGCTAGCTCCTTCACGTTCAGAATAAAAATTCGCGACCACAGGAGCACCGCTCGAAGTATTTCTATGTGCGGTAATCATATCCCGACCTGCTCCTCCCACCGCGTCCTTCACCAAAGTGAGGATCTTTTCGGACTCCTGCAGGAAACCGTCCTTCTCCGACAGTTGCCGTTGCAAACTCGCAATCTCCGCTTCTAGCTTCTTCTGGTTTTTCTGCAAATGCTTCCGCTCGTCCTCGTGTTTGAGTTTCAGCTGCGAAATCTCGTGGTTTTTCGCAACCAGCTCGCGATCGTGACGGGAGGACTGTTTGATGTGTGATGTTGAGAAAATGGAGCTGAGGATCGTGAGAATGGTCATTCAGTGCTTGTTTAATCCTAGAATGTGAATGGATCGATTTCCTTTTTCTTGCTTGATTGAGTGCATGTTTCTCAGACACAAAAGGACTAAATCAAAGCCTTTCTGTTTTTACAGCAGCAAGACCATTTCAATTCCAAGAAGGCCAAGTTCCAAACTGCATCTGTACGCTTGTTAGTACCTCGTCCTTTTTCTTTTGTTCGAAGTCCTCAAATTGCGCTGCCAGCTTCTCCTCAAATTCACCACGCAGCCATATGCAGGTGAAATGAATCTAGTTTTGAGAACGCGTCGGTGTCGGGATGCAAAAAACGCCAAGCACGAGATCATCTTCTCTCAAAGCTTTTTCAAATTCCACGATTTTATTCAGAATGACAAAAAAAAAAAATGAATCCGACGGCGACGGCGCGAAACTATAAATCTGATTCATTTCATCATTGCATATTCTCGTGCATGCCCCGTTGAAACTCTTCGGAGAGCATCACGTGCTTTTCCTGAAAGTCCTGCGCGATTTCCGATGCGTGGTCGCGCAGCGATTCCGCGTGCTTGTTTTTCAAGTTCAGCTTTTCGTCGTAGTGGTGTTTTTTCAGCTTTTCTTTCTCGCTGTCGAAGACCGTTTTGTGTTCCAGCAGGTACTGGTCAAATTTCTTCTGCTCCTCCTTCTGCGTCTCCACCACCGCCAGCTCGATGTTCTTGCTGTGTTTTTTGTATTCCAACAGCTTTTTCCACACAGCTTTTTCCACACGCTGTTGGCCCTCCTTGCCGCGCTCCGCGGGCTTTTCGGGCGTCTACCTCCCTGCTCGGGGCTTGCCGGCCTGGCGGCGCCCGCCTTCGCCCGCCCCTTGTTTTGCCCCGCCTGCCCTATTGGCGCCGCGGGGGGCTAACTTACTCGGCAGGGCCCCGCGCTGTGTCTGCGATCCCCCGCGCCGTAGTCAGGCCCTGACCAGGCACTGGGGCGCGCCATGTCGCGCACCCATTCAGCAGCTCGCCCGAATAGCAGTTGCAGCTTTTCCACGAGGACACGCGGGACCAAGCTCGCTCCCTGGTGTTGTGAGCCTCCCTGCGAAGAAGGCCTCGCTTGTGTGCTTGTCTTCGAACTGCCCAGTGGTATATTGTTGATCGTGTTCGGAGTCGAATTAGCAGAGATCTCGGATTATTTATAGTGTAGCTACTCTCTTCTGCCACGACCGCAAAAATTATTTAGCGATCCGAACTGAATGTGATCGATTTGCATCGGTCCACAATCAAGCGGAAGTTTCCTAACGCTAACTGTCAACAGTAAAAACCTTCCTCTTCCATTTTCTTTCTTCAGTGAGCAGTTCCAAGAATAGGAATCTATACAAATTTTTCGCGACCTCCTCCGCTACTTGCGTAGAAGCAGCACCGTTCTTGTAAAGTGAACCGCAAGGGCACTTCTTCCCTAAAGATGCTTTCGTGGCCAAGGAAATTTCTGATCTTCGCCGGTTGTTCCAGGAAACCCTGGTCTTGTTAAGCACCACGACCAGATTTTTGAGTGAGCCTTGGTAAGGTACTTTTTACAGCTACTACGTACTGCTACTAGGATGGCATCCTAGTAGCAGTACTAGCTGTAAGTACCTTACCAAGGTGGCGCTCGAAGAAAACTTTGCGGAGCTTTGTAATTATACCCTGCCCTTGCGCCACATTTTGTAATTATACCACTAGCCATTATTTGCATTATCCACCTCATATGCATTCAGCTTTTCATTCCGAAACACGATCGTGATCTAATCAGTGACTCAAGATCATTGATGAGCGCTCAGGTCGGGGCATCATTCGCGTTCGCAAGAGAGCTTGACGTAAATTTGCGTGAGGGTTGACCACACGAAAATCTGTTCCCCTTTGCTCAACTTGACGAAACAAGTGCATACCTTGGGATGACGCGAAGGAGGTCGACGACGAACTAGATGACGACGATGATAAAGAGTTTGCAAAAGAGGTACTACACCTGTGTTTTTTGTATTCCAACAGCTTTTTCCACACGCTCAGACACTGCTTGGCACTGAACCACATCGACAAAGACTCTTTTGGGAAATTGCCCAGACACCCAGTTGAGATCGAGTTCAAACCGTGCCGACGTTGTGGCTAAATGTGCCGCGGGCGTTCGTGTAAAATGCTCAGAGTTGCTCCTGGTCCTGCTAGAACGAGCACTCCAGTTGTGCTTTTTGCAGCTGAAAAACGCGCAAAGGGAAAAGGCGCACTTTTTCAGCTGAAAAAAACCGCCAAGACGGTTTGTTCGAGCGCGAATTGATGGCTTAATTTCCAGCCTCGAAGAGACTCGATACATGCGAAGATGATGAGCAACACATCGAGACTGAACCAAGATCGAGCGGAGAGCAAGCCGGAACCGAGTTGGGATCTAGTTGAGATCGAGCTGGCATCGAGTTGGGATCGAGTTGAGACCGAGTTGAGACCAAATTGCGATCGAGTTGAAATCGAGTTGAGATCGAGTCGAGACCGAGCTGAGACAGAGTTGAGACCGAGTTGAGATCGAGTTGAGATTTTCACTTTTTTGTCACTGAAAAAACGAAGAGGTGAGAACTCACGTGGCGCTTTTTTTCAGCTGAAAAATTGCGCCCTTGCGCTTTTTTTCAGCTGATAAATTGCGCCCTTGCGCTTTTTTTCAGTTGAAAAGTTGCGCCCTTGTACCTTTTTTCACCTGAAAAGTTACAAGGTGCAGTTTTTCAGCTGGAAAAAACCGCGAAAGTGCTTTTTTTCAGCTGCAAAGAGGAGCGCAGCCCAAATGTGCTTTTTTTCAGCCGAAAAAAAACGAAAGTGAGCTTTTTTCCAGCTGAAAAAAAGCGCAAAAGTGCAATTTGCGCTTTTTCGGTCTCAACTCCGTCCGTGTCTCGGTCTCAACTCCGTCCGTGTCCACTCGGTCTCAACTTACTCTTGATTCGATCTCGACGGAGCGGAAACATTGGAGCTTTTTTCACCTGGAAAAAAGCTCGCCCTGAATATGCAAGATCCAGATTTACTGCCCACCCGGTCGAGCACGAGGGAGCTCATCCTCATGCTTTGGACAGAAGCAACAGTGGGGACGCACAAAAGCACCTGTGTTTTTTGTATTCCAACAGCTTTTTCCACACACTCAGACACTGCGACAAAAGCCCGCGGTTGTCGGAATCGCACCAACTGCGGAAGAGTACGTCCACCTGGGACAGCTGTTTCCAGCGGAGGCGCGTGTTCTCCTGCTGCAGCGTTTCGATCGCGTGAATGAGGGAGACCATGTCACTGTGCATCGAGTGCAAGCGCTCGACGGGCGACAACCGCTGGTCTGTCGGGTTCACGTTCCTCGGCGTCCCGGTGCTGGAGGAGGAGGAAGACGAGAACTGTCGTTGCGCGGCGGCGGTGTGGCTCCCCTGGTAGAATTGCTCTCGGTCCTCGCCGGGGTCGTCGGTTGATGCGGCGGTATCTGTTTTTCAGAAACCGTACTAAATCAAATAATGGTAAAAGGCAGGGCAGGCACAGGCACTTATACTTACTTTCTCATTATGCGGTCCACCTAGAATACTCTATGTATGGTTTCTGATTTTTCAAATTCCTGTCCTCTCAAAAAAAAAAGGACCATGACCCCCACTACAGCTGTGAATGCATGGTGCGCTGTATGTGCAACTTCCAGGGAGGTCTTGCGACAGAAGTTATCAAGACGCACAAACCAATACTTCGCTTCAACAGCCGTTGAATGATCTCTGATGCCCGTTTGTCCGCTTTCAAAACGCTTGCGTTCCTCGTCTGCTTTACCACTTTCGTGGTCATTCCCAGCTGCATGGGATTATTACCGGCAAGCCTCCCGGCTGCGCCCAACCCCGAAGCGGAGTTATGGTGCAAGAAGTGGTTGTATGGATTTTTACTTCCAGCACCGGAAGTCGACGAGGATGCTACACTGGAAGACGACGACGGAAAGAGATTCGGCGCATGGCCCATTGCGGAACGCTTGTTATAGCCATTGTAATTGTGTGAGGACGATGACCCACGAGGTGGACCACCAGCCACCTGTGCGGGTTGCGGATGTCCAGACGAGGAGTGCTGTTGTCTTGGAGCGGCCGAAGACACCGACGTCAGTACCGAACTTGCGCCAGAGGTAGCGTTGGAGTCCGTCCTGGCATTCAAAAGACCGTTGTAGTGCTGCTGATGCTGTCCACTCAAAGAACTCACGGGTGGCCGCTGGTGATGCTGCCCGGTAGTAAGCTGGGGAGGTTCTTGTTGTTGGTGTTGAAACAGCAGCTCATCCTCTTCGTCTCGATGTTCCTCTGATGAGTTAGAAGCTTTTTGCTGTTGTTCCAGTGCGACACTCATCTGCATCTTCTTTGCCTTGTTTCGGCTGGACGCGGTGGTTGCGGCCGCCAGACGGCTGCTGCGCAGCACGAATCCTCCGTTTGGTTTACTTGCACAGGTATTCATCACGTTAGTCGCTGTCGCGCTGGTGCTGCGGATCCTGCTAGACGTCGAAGTGTAGTTCGACTGTCGGGCGTGTGGCTCGAAGGAGCCGAGGACCTCTCCCCTAGCTGTGTGTGTTTGCTGCCCTATTTTGAGGTCCACCGCTCCCGCGGCGTTACTAGCACTAGTCGGGAAAAAAGTCGGGAGCTTCATGATTGGTCCCGCCGTGGCGGTGCCGGTGACCGAAATCGTCGGCATGTGCAACTGCGGCTTTCCGAAAAGCTCCACGGGGTTTTCTTCCGCCGTGGTATGATCAAATGCAACTCCGCTTGTTCCGTCCTCCCGTAGTTTAACGCCGGCGAGCACGGGGCTGCTCGCGGGACTGTTGGAAGAGGCGTCAGCGACCATTTTTGGGTAGTAAATTTCGAAACAACGAATAAAAGTTGAATTCTGTCGTTACGAAACAAGAATAAACACGAAACTGCAGCAGGAGATTAGAGTCGGAAACAGAACACGATGAAAGAGTACAACCACACCGTGAGAATAGACATCAAGCAGCATAAAGAAGTAGAAGTGCCTCGCGCATGTGCTCAATGGGTGCAAATCATCACGAAAACCCACGAGTTGTTCGGCGACACGTAAACGATATCACAGCGCGCCTGTTCCCCATCACGACAGGATAAACGAAAGTTTTGCGCTTCTATCGCAGGCTGAGTGAAATCAAAAACATCACTAGCACCACGACGACGACCCGGACGACGCTATAAGTTTGCCCATTACTAGACTCAGGCTCAGGTGCGTTGGTCCTAACGATTACGATTTCAAAAGAATCTATGGCAGCGAGTGTAGTTTTACGTACTTTTACTAGTTGTGAACGGTTGTATCCGCGGTCCTGCTTGTTGCTGGAAATCGCTCCTCCCTTTTTCCTCCGGCAGATACTAAGTAGTCTGGAGCCGAGATGTTTTCGTCCTCGCAGAACCTTGTAGTTCCTGACAAAGAGTGCGAATCAGCTACCAGCCACGATGACGAATTTTCCTTTTTTGTGAAACAAAGACCGTGGCTGAGGTAGCCAAACAACGACATGGAAGAACAATTTACGACCTCGGTCACCGCTTTATTTGTAAGAAATCGAAATCGAAATCACGTGGAGTGTAGTTGCCAAAATCAATGTATACAATACTGTGCGGTCCAACAAACCTCATCTCGCTCAAGTAGCTGAAGGTGACGTCGAGAGGACCCTTGCGATAATTTTCAATCTCTGTAACGGGTAAAATGAACATGAAGGGTATACACAACCTGAGCAGACATTTCAACAAGAACGCAGTCGGGTCAAGCTGATGTTTCTTCGAAGTGGGTAGAAGTCGTAGTGTGTGTGTGTAGTAGAGTTTGCAGAATAAAAAAGAGACGGCGGATACTAGGACGTTCGTGCTTACTTACTTCGTAGATGTTGTAGTTGTAGACGGAAAAACTTCACATAGAATCAACAAGAAAATGAGCAGAAACTAAAATTCTTTGGAAAGCAAATGCTTCGGAGCAATGCATGAAGTTTCGGAGATGTAATTTGCAACGTTGCAAGGAAAACACGGCACAATAAAGATCTCGATCTCATATTTGTACATGTCTAGTCCTGTTGCTGTCGGAGAGAGAGTCTTCAACTACATTTTTCTCATGATGAAAACGAAACCTGACTGAAAATCTTGGTATAAATACATAATAATGTAACGAGGATGATACTAGCAATCGAACACCGATAACACAACATCAAAATGCAACGAGCACCAACAGAAGGGGGACAAAGCAAAATCGTGCCCCCCAGGATTAGCAACGCGTGGTTCCTGCGTTTGTTTTTTTGGCCGATTTCTGCACACACGCTTTACACATTTAGCCTTCGCTTTGCTTGGGGCAAGTTGTTTTCTCAGAAGGCTCTTGGGCGCTTTCATTGTGGGTGGGGAGGTCCGCGGTTCTAGAGGTCGTTCACATTGATGTCTTCGGGCAAATCGTCCCCGGCCGGCACTTCCGGCCCGCGGGAAGTAAACTTGCGCACCACCGGCAGGGCTCGCTGGGCGGTGCCGCAGTACACACAAAGCTGGCTCCCGTCCTGCACACGGGAAAAGACCACGTAGACGTGGCCGTGCTCCTGGAGCAGGTTATACCCGGAAACGATCAGGCGCCGGGGGTGGGCGACGGTAACGCCCTGAAAGCTGTTCACCGTCGAGACGGCGGCGAGCCGCAAGGGGATGCTTTGGATGACCCAGTCCCCGTCAACGGGGGTGGATTGGATGGCATACATTAGGGGGACGCACACAACTTTCTTGGCGCCGTTGATGTTTTCAAACTCGACCGTCACGAACTTGGCGCCGAGGTGTAGCACGCGGCCGCGGGACTCTTTGGCGATGCGGGTGCCGTTAATGTTGAGGTTGCGCGTCAGCGCGACCCGCATGCCAACGGCGACGGTCAGGGTATTGATTTGCGCCAGAATGTCGGCAGTGCCGAAGGCGCTCCGCTGGACGTCCGTTTTGCAATGGCAACGGGGCTCGTAGGAGCGCAGCGGCTTATCGGGGAAGAGCCGGCGGAAGGCTTCGAGCAGGACCCTGGTGGCGCGGTCCTTTTCGTAGTGGGTGCCGCAAATGAGATCGGCCTCCCCGCGGGCAAGTTGCTCCGCGATTTCCTGGTAGGACCAGTCCGGGGTCGTTACCACCTGGAACGGCGGCTGGGGGGGAAGTGGCGCGCCCGGCTCCTCGGTGTCCGAGTTCTCCGGATTAAGAAAAATCTCCGGGCGGGCCCCGCTACGGATGTCGGTGCAAAAGTCCGACCACGCCTGCGTCCGAAAGCGGGGGTTTTTCTGGCCGGCCGGAACTTCGAGGGCAAGCCACTCGACTGCCGCGCCGAGCTCGTCGTAGTACTCCATCGGGTGGAGGCCCTCCATCTGTGCCGAAATGGTTTCGGCCGTGCCATCGTCAACCGGCCCGATCTGTTCAAGGTCCCCCGCATCGAGGAGAGCCGGCTTTGCCTGCAGCTCGTTCAGCCGCGCGTCCCTTTGGGCCAGCCAGTTCCGATGAGCCATAAAGGCCTCGTCCGTGACAACCAAGCGGGCGGCCTTAAGCAGCGCGAGTTCGCGGACATACTCGGCGGCCTCCGCGAGGTCGCCCGACACCCGCAGGCCGACGCCCTGGTGGATTGTTGTTCCGCCCGGTAGCAGGCTGGCGGCCTGGCCGCTGGACCCGAGGACCACGCAAACCTCCCCCCGCAGCCGGTAGTAGAGGAGCAGGGCCTCGATCAAGTAGCCCTTGCCCGTTCCGCCCATCGCATTGATGACGAACCTCGCGAGGCCGCGGGCGGGGTCATCGTCGTCGGCCACCGCCGTAATGCGCTCGAACGCAGAGGCCTGTGACGCAGTGAAACGGGCCCGGCGCTCGGCAAGGTCGGCCCGCATGCGCTGCCGGCCCTGGAGCCAGAAAGCGCGCTCCTGCTGCACAAAGTAGGCGCCGGCGGCTATGGGGTCGCCGAGATCCGGGCCGGCGGGCCTGGCGCGGGCCCCGACAGGGTCGATCGTCTGCTGCAGGGGGCGGAGGTCCAGAGCGGGCACGCCAAGGCCCTCGAGGCGTTTGAAGATTTCGGGGAGCGGGCGGCCGGTTTCCAGCGCTGCGTAGCGGATCGCGCCCGCGCGGGTGTCGGACCCGGGGAAGCACTGCCAATAGGTGGCCAGGTCTTTGAGGAGGTCTGCGCGCGTGTAGGCCTGCACGTCCTGCAAGAATTTCTCAAAAAGCTCCGCGTCCTGGTTGGTTTCCTCCATGTATTGCATCACTGTCGCGCTGCCTTCTCGGAGGGCTTCCTCGAACCCGTCGCGCCACAGTACTGCGCGCGTTAGCAGCCAAGTGGCGAAACTGTCGCCAGTGAACACAAGGACGGCGCGGCGCCCCCGCGGGCGGAGGGTGCCCCATTCCGTTTCGTCCGCTCCTTCAAGGCCCTCCCGTTCTATGATCTGGCGGGCGCCGCGGTATGTTTGGCTATCCGGCTGCCCTCGTGCCCGGGCGGCAATCTGAGACCGGGCCAGGTCCGCCCGAAGCCTCTCGTCGCAGTAGTACTCTTGCGCAAACTCGAGGAAGTTCGTGTGGTATTTTTCTACGCCGCGCGGGCGGTCGAGATAGGCATTGAGGAGGAGGGGGAAGGGCGCTACCGGAGCTGGCCGGCCGGCCGCCTCGCCGCCTGCTCCGTCCGCCCTGTCGACATCCTCGCCCCCCGCGTCGCTTTCTGCCTCTTCGCCGTCCTCGCCAGAATCGGGGGCGGGGCCGCCTGCCTGCCCGCCTCGCTCCGGCCTCGTGTCCTTTTCCAGGGCCGGAAGGTGCATCGGCAGCAGATCGTGGTCGGCGCCCCAGGTCTCGTATATTGGGAACCCAAACAGGCGGTAGGAGGCCTCTGAGCTCGAAAGGGCCCGGCAGTCCTGCCGGACTTCGCGCTCCCTCTGCAGCCCCCAGGAGTATGTGACGTTGGTTGCGGCGTCGCGGCTCTTGATGTCGTACTTGACGACGTAGCTCACTTTGATGGCCCCGCAGAGGAAGACGATGTTGGTGTGGCATTGCAGCCGAGCGAAGGCGCGGATGTCGTGGTCGACGTGCCACTCTTGCCCTTCCTCTGTCTGCAGATGGATGTAGCCGTCTTCAATGTAGGTCCGGCAGGGGATCTTGGGGAAGCCCTTGGCGCACATTGTTGCGCTCTTTTTTTTGCAATGGTCGGCGGAGCACACATGGAAGAAAACCTTGGCCGCGACATCCTGGAAGGCCTCCGGGTATTCTTCCCAGCTTTTGCTCCCAAGCCGGGCGCACTCGGCGAGGTCTAGGATTGGATCCTCCAGCCATATAAGGATATGGACGTGGGGGAGGCCGCGCCACTGAAACTCCACGGACCGGATGTAGCACCGGACCCGGCCCCAGATTTTGCCGCCTTTGACCTCTTCAAGGAATTTCTTGACTCGGGCTTGAAAAATGCGGGCCGTTTCCCAGGTCGAAGTCGTAGGCGTCGAGCCCGCGCCGCCGAAACTCCGGCCAGTCGGTGTTCATTGTGATAGTGAGGAACAGGTCCGGGGGGCCGTACTCCCGCACGAGTGCGAAGCCTTTCCGGCGCATCAGGTCAATGGAGGCGGCCGACCCCGCGATGGATGCGGGCAGGAAGCGCGGCCGCTTATTCCACCGGGCGAAGTAGCGGCGCTCGTGCGCGAGGACTTCGGCGGTTTCTTTGTTCATCCAGGTGTGGATGACAAAGTGCTGCAGAAGTTTGACGTAGCTAGGCGGGTAGGGGACCCGGGCAAGCAGTTGCGCCGCGAAGCAGCGAAGGGAGCAAGCCTCCGGGATGTCAAGCCTGCCGGGGAACAAAACGGGAAAGAGAAGGGGGAGGAGGTTGATGTAGTTCTGCTCGATGCGCCCGCTCGTCTGGTATACGCGCCGGGCGTCACCGGGCCGGCCCGAGCCCCGGAGCGGTTGCGCCACCGGCAGCGCGAGGTCCCCATAGTGGGGAATCAAGTGGCGGGCGTCCTCGTCTTCGAAGGCTTCCGGGGAGACTTCGGGAAGGATGATG